CGATCCGCGGGCGGCCTACTGCGCACGGCCCGGCTCTCCTGTCGTTTAAGATGCGAGGTATTTCACTGTACGCGCTTTTAATGGACATGTTCTGCCGAGTCCACAGCAGATAAGACGACTTGACAGCCACATCTGTTGTCCCCCGCCGTGCTCTAACCGTAACGCACATGCCCCGAATACAGCCAGCCCCGCCTGATATCTCCGTCGCCAGTTGAATTAGAATCGTCGGCTGCAGGCATCCCAATAATCAACAACACCCAGAACCAGCCAGGAAACCCAGCGGAGATCATGTGTTTCGCGTCCTCCAGGCCAGCCCAGGCTAAAATTAAATGCAAAGTTGAGTAATTGTGTTTTAATTGATGTTAATGGGCCCAGGATCCTCGCGTTACACTGGGGGTATCACTATACATGGCGACTGGTGCCCCGCGATCTTGATTAAAGTATTAAATGCATAGTTTCCCTAATTCTCTCTCCTTCTTTTATGATCCATGAAATTGTATATCCAAATAGATTAGCCAAGCGCGCTCCGGGCGATCCGTGATGCTAGGCCCACTCTCACCCCTCCAAACCCCGCTGTAAATACTCAGAAACAAGGGAAGGAGAGGAAAACTTGCCCGCCCTTCTCTGAATCTCGGTTCTTTTGATGCCTGCTAACCTTTTTAGTGTCAGAGTCTGACAGACTATACAGCGGCGCAGTCCGGGTCAGGCTAGCGACTGGCTGGCTTAGTCGGCGCGATAAACCTGGCGCCTCCGCGAACCGCCATCTGCCCATCCCGCCTATCTGTGAACACTACACGGATGCCTTCGTAATAATGTCGTTAGTGCAATTATCACTGGATAAGTGTACCACAGAACAAGCCTAACGAGGAAAGAAAAAAACAACAAGAACTTTAAATAAAAAGGGAAGGAAAACTTCAAAGGATGAGAATGAAAAGGATCCATTTGACACGCGACTCGAACGAATCTTCCCAATTCGCATCGACGATTTGGTGATTTCTCGCTTTAGCTGAGTGGATCCGGACGTGATCAGTTCTGCCCCGCCCGTGTGTGCGGTGGAGTGCCGACCCTCCCCGGACGTGTGCCCGGCACCCCGGCCCAGCCCTGCCCGTATGGACCTCATAAAGTACCGCATACCGTACCACTGGTCTGGAGACACTGCACTCCGGTCAAAAGGTCGTCCGACGACCTGTTTTCCCTTCTGAAAAAAAATCTAAAATATTCTTTCGTTTCAAAAAAACAACAAACATATCACTATCAGCGAGTTCTACCAGTTTCCATTTCCTTACTTGTAGATTCTATTTGTTCCTTTCTAATGTATCTATCTATATCTTGTAGCCGTGGACGATAAATCAAAGGAATGGTCAAGAGAGCGAAGAAAAGATAAAATCTCGATAAAACATCTTGTCAGGGGGTTGCGCTGTTAATCATTAATCATGAACGATCAATCTCTTCCTGATGTTTTCCGCAGAGTTCGGGGAGAAGTTTTGACAGCAGAATGACAATAATAAATCATGTATGAAGAAGCTACATTCTGTACCATCATTTCATTTCAAGAATGACTTCTGAGAAGTGTTGTTTTTCAAGTCAGTTCCTGGGCTTTAGAGAGTAAGGTGGATTGAAGCAGATTTCCCTACTTTTTTTTTAATTTGGCGGGCGAGGGATTGTATGTTCCTCTTGTAATAGATAAAAGAAGAAGGAAGCCAGGCTGTAACACTTTTCTGTGAATACAAGTCCAGAAGGTCCCTTGTGTTGAAAATCCTATCCAAATTGGAGGCTTGGTGTTCTCTATGTGTACAGTTCCTAGATCTGTCTACTGCTTTACTAACGAGATATATAAACCAGTTCTTCTGTCACAAAAGAAAGAAGCTCCACGTTTCTTTCTACCGTGTCGTCTTTTTCCTTTGTGACAGCATTCCATCTATTTTCGACCCCAATGAAAACGAATTTGGGTTAGGATATACTCGCCCTTTTGAAGGGTTTCCGCCCAGGTAGTTACGTATACATTCAGAAAAGTCTTCTCCAAACCAATCTTTGCACTGGTGGATGAAACAAGGGGTTAAAGAGTTTACTAGAAAGAGAAAGGGTATAAAGACTTCAATCGAAGTCAGTGAGCGTAACGGGTTGGGAAATAATAAACAAAGTAATTGTTGTGTAATGACTCAGTCATTCGAAAAAAGCATCCTGTTCTTCTACAACTGAAGATGTTCTTACAAAAGAGACTACCGCAGGAAAAGTGTGCGTAGGATACAGCTGGGTGATTTTGGGGCGGTTGTGTTTTCTTTTCAATTTCATCAACCTCGTTTTTAACTGTCCAACAAGGGCGCCTTGTCCACCACGTGTTTGACTTCGTATGAGATTCCGAGCATATTTGTGAGCTTCCTGTAATATGTGGTTAACATGTTGAAAGAAACAATGGTTAAGGGATAAAAAGAATATAATATTACATTTTCTTGAGCCTACACTGCGGTAACTAAAAACCTTGAAGTCTTTCAGAAGTCCCGCGGGTCTGTTCGTGACAAATTGCAGGTATACGTATGATTCTGGCCTGGCCATATATGGCGGAGTAATGTCATTAATCCCGTAGCAAGCGTCAGAGTTATCTCAACGTTTGACCCGAAGTATGTACCAATTTAATTGTCGGTGTCGCGGTACTACTGGCTTCTTTCATCGAGCCGAGGGAACTAGCTTTAACACGACACAGAAGGGGGAGGGTACAGATAGACTTCGGGGCTAGGAAAAGGTCATAATTTTTGTCATCTGCTCTCAATGATCACATGAATGACAGACGGCAAATTGCGGGTCCTTGTGGGACGATAGTCAGCGCTAAACTAACACACGTTTTTCTCTGACGACGTTTTGGCCAGGAATACTCTACTAGGCTCTACTTCCCGTAGCGCATATTCTGTCTTGATTGCACCGGTTCTAAGGGGGCAAGGGGGCTTTTTCAGTTATCGCGGAGCTCAAGAATTCGTCGGGAATTATTTTGCTGGCTTTCTATAATTGGTTTTCTTGATCCTCTGGTTGCGAGGCTGTCTGCGGCTCGTGACATATGGTCTGTATTTATGTCGGTCACACATCCATCCCTCAACAAGTGATATTCTCCCGGAGACCCAGAGACTTTCCCCCCGAGACTCAGACGGAATAAGTGCCGGCGAAGTGAACATGCAGCCCCATAGCCACTTCTCTTTGATACCCCCACCCCGTGGTTTTATCCGCGTCAATTGTAAACAAACAAATACAAGTGTAATTGACCACGTGTGTTGTTCTAAGCACCCTCGCCCCCTGTTGTTTAGAAGTGTTGTCGATAATGATTTGATTTCTATTCTTTTTCTTTTAGTTGCTAATTTATAGGCGATAGTATCACAACTCAGCGTTCGCGGCGCTTTTGAAGTTGGGAGATTAGGTGTTTCAGTACATTGTCATGCATTCGGGACTCCTTAAATCCTAATTACCTCTCAATTAACGCAACAAACAAAATGACTAGTCGAGACTCTCTTTCTTGTGTATATACGCCATGTGCAGAAATTTATAGCCGGTCAACGTTGGCGTCTGGAGTAAATCTAGCGAGAAATTGTACGACTTTCTTTGGGGGCGAATTTTGCGGAAGTTCACAGCGGGACGCTAGGCTGGTTTCGTGAGAGAGAAATGTGCGGACCGTACCGTGACAGTGTCCCCTTTCCGCTCCCCTCCCCACCACACATGTATTAAAAACCTATCCACTCATTCTGCTAATTACAGTGAAATGGGATATATCACGGGTTACCGTCACACGCTCTAAAAAGATATCACCTCGTGTGGAAAGGAAACGGAATCGCAAAATATGACTAGATTTGGGGTCAGCGGAAGTGAGAATTTGTCAAGAATGTGTCTGCTAGAATAAGCTACAATGTAGCCTCTACCAGGCACCGCGGATCGCTGGAAAAATACTAGAAATTGGCCGAAATAAAGGAATAATATACCAGGGGAGGTAGTCGGCCAGAGAAGATCCAATTCGCGACCCACGGCTACCTTTCCTGGTATATTATTCCTTTATTTCGGCCCATTTCTACTATTTTTCCTGCGATCCGCGGTGCCTGGTAGAGGCTAGCTACGTTGCACAAAAGTAGTACTAAGAGATGAGTCGCTGTACACATGTAACAGATGGGACGGTGGTGTGGATGGTGGGAAGACCTACAACTGACCCACAAGACGCCATAAAACACTTATCTTCCTGAATGAACCCTTATTATGAACCTTTTTTCTCTCCTCAGTTGATGCGGCTGAGTGTCATTCGCACAAAAAGACAAAGCGAGTCGACAAATATTGATGTCCTCCGTCTATTATCACCTCATTTCGGAGTCATTTGTCTGATTGATGTGGAAATGCCTGTAAAGCACGGTCTATTGTGTGGACCAATAATTATCCTTCCAGGCCATTATTACATGGGCTCGTTCCAATTGTCGCGCCTCCGTCTTGTTCGCATGCTAAACTTGTCGCTAGAAAATCTCCGACAGTCTCACAACGTCTCGTACGACATCCGGACGTAATTTAATGCTTTTTAGAAATCTACGAGTCAGAAACACGTCCGTTTTTTGTTCCTCCAATGCTTTCTGGACGTTTGGTATCCTGAGGCGATAGGGTGGGGGCTGAATTCCTCCTAGGGGTAACTGTTACATATTCGGAGTGGTTGTGGTTCCTTTGATCCTACCGTTGGTGGCGCCTAGAAACAACACAACTTGTCTGCCCATTCAAATATCTGACAAATCACGGCAGATTGTTTATCCTCACAATTAGTGCTGGCCAGGTCACGACGTAATTGATCACTCTGCTGGGAAAAAAGAGAAAGACATTCACCAAACGTCTTTTGATAAAGCATGAAGAGTTGGAGATGAGTTTTTGCAGATACATGAAAGTTGTCAAATATGTTACATGTTTGTTGGTCCCATTTTGTATTCGTTTTTTTTCCTTCATAATATAGGAGAACGTACCCTCAAGTCACTGAAAAGTGAGTCGGTGTCTGCGCATATCGCTGGTGTCGCGCATAATTGCGTTTTGTGGATTGTCCAATCGCCGGAATTGTTTACAAGATTATCCCCACTCTTGGCAATAAATGCCACAGCGAGAGGCCAGATTACCAGAGACAAATTTATTATTTATGACCAACCCCATCCCTCGACCAATTAGCAGGCTCGTGTCGGTTACGTCACCGGGCGGTGATCAGATGATTGGGCTGCGGAATTGACATGAGGTTTGCGGGTAAAACTTGAAGGCGTTACTTCTGGGCTCCCCAAAATTGTAGCCTTCTGTTCCGAACCACACTCCTATTTTTCACCCCAGCAAACACAAAACACGGGGTTCGCGCGGAGCTGTAATTGTCGACATGGCTCAATCGACGCTACCGACGAGCAGCAACTCAGCCTTCAGCAAGCCCACGACTTCGGCACCGTCCGCGGCGAGTAGTCCGACCAGCACCGAGAAGCTGCCCTTCAGCGTGGCTTCCCTGATGGCTGATAAGCCGAAGGAAACGGAGCAGAACCAGTCCGACAACGGGCCGCCACCTCTCCAATCTCCCGGCGGGCCTCAGTCGCCTTCCTCCCCGCCGGCCACGGTGCCAACCGCCCCGGCACCACCTCCCTCCCGCCCGTCGGACTTCAGCGTCGAGGGGATCCTCAGCAAGCCGTGTTCTTCAGAAACTGCAGCGGCAGAGAAGGGACATGACCCGTCAGGTTTCGCCGCTGCCAGGTTCCCGTGGCTTCAGTCGTCACGTTACTCACCCCCGCCCAGTAAGTGTCCTTTTTACGCTGTGCCCATGTGCACATATGGTACCAGCACAAGTGATTTATTCTTCACGGAATGCCTTCGCAACACCTAGCTAGCCCAAGTGTAGTCAATCATAGTGTATGTAGTATACTTTCATCAGAAAGCGTACATAGAGTTTGTAAAACAGCTATACAACAGAAAGCCCAAGTGCAACGTACATTATTATGTATCGTCCCAAAATTTTGGGCACGTCCAAAAAATTGACAGTGTGTGACTGAGGAACACAGGTTTAAACTTCAAGGGATCGTTTGGATACTTTTCACCGCCAAATATCTCTCGTCTGTTATTACTCCAGACACATAATACATATTGTGCACGAAAGTCTTGGAAACATAATACGTCATTGTTGTGCCGGCTTCTTGTAACAAGTTTCACCACTGGTAAAGTATGGTGGCGCAGGCAGTGTTGCGTAGTTCATTTGAGATAAGGGGTTTTCTGACGCATTCCTGCGTTTGTCGCACAAAACAACTGACAATTAGCGACAGAAAGGCGAAGTTTATGAAACAATGCTGTTAGAAATCTGGACAATTTTAACAGCGGGAAGCTAGTGTAACGTTACGCTAAAAACTGCGATTTCTTTAAAAACATGTGAAGTGTTCCACACACTATATGGTAGTAGCGTTATGTTCGAACCTGTGTTTGTACCTTCACGTACGTTTTAAGGACTTGTTTTAGGAATTGTTGACTTTAGTTTTGTTTTGCTTTGTTCCAGGAGATAGACTCCCGACACCGAATAAGTGTACGCTTAGGAAACACAAGACAAATAGGAAGCCCAGAACGCCGTTCACCACACAACAGTTGCTAGCGTTGGAGAGAAAGTTCCGGCAGAAGCAGTACCTGTCCATAGCCGAGCGGGCAGAGTTCTCAGCCTCGCTAAATCTGACGGAAACGCAGGTGAAAATTTGGTTCCAGAACCGGCGGGCCAAGGCGAAACGTCTGCAGGAGGCCGAGCTCGAGAAACTCAAGATGGCCGCCAAGCCCATGCTACCGCCCGCACTAGGCATGACCTTCCCCTCACCGTTTTACGCGGCTGCTTCGCCCTTCCACAGACCAGGACTTCCCGTACAAGCCTGTCAGATCGGGCCCTACACCTACTATCCCTCACACACCTACGCTGGCTTCATCCACTCATCGTAAAAGACGGGAGGGAGAGGGAGAAAAAACATTGTACATGAACTGTGTAAGTGGAAAGTTTATACATACTTGTGCGTAAGTTATGTCATATAACTTGAATGGACAACCGGGCTTATAGCCTAGCAGACGGACTCAAAAAGGTATTATAAAGGAAAAATATGCCCGAAACGGGCACTAAGAACTCGTCGACATCCTTGCAAGTATGTGCTTTTGAATGGATGGAAGGTATACTATGTATTATTGTAAATGTGCGCTGTATTTTTCAATTGTATATTATGTTGAATGCTTTTGTTACGAACGACATAGCAGCTTCATTGTTGCCGTAAAATTCACAAGCAAAGATATGAGGAGCTTCCGCGAATATATGAACATATGTACCAGACTATTATGATGAAATGTTATATTTATTTTTGGGAAATGTGTGGACGTTATAAGAATAGTGTGGCGGGACAGCTGAATACGAGGATGCCCCCGGGTTGCCAGCTAAAGGGTCACCCGTCAAAAAGCCTCTAGCACCCGCTGTGCCGTGAAAGCAACACCGTATAAAGACCCCATCAATCCAAGGACAACGATCTCTGACACAAAGCGTCAGGAACCCCCTCGAAAATTCTCTGTAAAATGATCTTGTTGACAGAATTGAAGCTCTTTTAATGTGCGAAGGCTTTCTCTAAATGGTGTGCAATGTGCGTTCTTGTAGTGTTTTCTCCTACTAGTCCACACAGCTAGCCAGGTCTACGTCCCGTTATAGGAAAAGGACCTTGCACAACCGATACTGTTTCGGCCGATGTCAGAATATTTTCTTTGGCTCGCATGCCACCAGTATGTCACTCATCCCTCCTCCGTTTATGTACCACACAGTGTAAAACAGGACTTTAATGCGGTATATAAATGTACACTTAATCCTTGATCATTAAAGTGTTTCCTGATATGTAGAAGCTCGAATACACGCCGGCTTTTGAATAATCGCTTTGAGCCTCCAATATGTCAATGTATAATATTTCATCCTGTCGAGTTTGTTATTGATAGCATATTCCAACCGTCAGTCCCCAGCTCCATATAACATCCCCAGAGAAACCAACCGCCGGTCCCTTATGAGTACGTAAAGCATTGTTTTAATTAGAACGTTTTCGGTTCTAGATTTGGGTCAAACGCTTTCTTTTTGCATCCTTACTTGTCTCATATGATTGTATCGCCTTCAAGTTTTACATAAGAACAGCAAAAACATTTCAACTTGCGATTATTTTTTTTGGGGAGACAAGTAAACCACCAGGAGTAGACCTGTTAAAATCCGATTACGATTCTTAGGTAAATGACACGACAACAAGAAACAGGTCATTTACACCTCTTCAAAAGAGGTGCGAAAAAAGGGCTAGCTGTGACACCCGCTCCTGTTAAGACAATTCAGACCGAAAATCTGTTAATGACAGAATTGTTTTTCTCTCGTTCCCGCCCTTTTGTTTTGTTTGGGGGTGATTTGGCGGCTTGGTGTCATGATATTCCCCAGTGATAGCCAGGCGAGGGTGCATGTGTTTAGCACGTTTGTTGTGTGGCTTCTTTCACTCCCAGTGGACACGGAAGCATGGCTAATCAGTTTATAAAACCAGAACAGGGACTATTCTTCCAAATATCGTTCCAAAAATACTTGCCAACAACCGGGTATCTAAAATAGCCACAGAAATACGCTTCTCAAATAAAATGTGTTACTTGAATGATACAGAAAAGATGTGTAGTCAGTGTCGAATGCTTCTCTTAAAAAGCACAGATATTTCTCGCATAGTCCTTGATACATGTCATAACTGTGTGCCCTTCCTGGAAATGTTAAACATACTCTGAAAACTGTTGAAGCCATGAAATGCATACGTACTTAGAAACAAGTTGAGGAAGTGGCTATCAAGGATAACAGCATGTTTAGAGAGGCACACACTGCCGATGTGTTTCTCGGCGTGTATGTGAGGTGCCGCCCGAAGAATCCAGGCGTTCAATGCGGTGATATCGGCACTAAATAATACACTGCCTATCCGTGATTGTTCTTCAAACGCTTAAAAACAAAATCTTACTACACCTTGATTTTCATATTTGACTGTCATAGAACAATAATCTTCGTTCTAACAGTGTAATTCGGCCGATACACACACCTCAAACTCACTTACTAAGTAGATTGAAATACGGCTAAATGTTATCTTCTATAGACAAGAATTTATATCCGGATGTAGTAAATAGCGCAAACTTCCCTGTCTTAATTCGCTTGTAGGTAAACATTTCGCGGCTTGTTTGGCGGAATAGAATATTTGGGTAAAATTTCTCCAGAACACAGTGAACATACTGAAGCTCGGGAATTCGCTACTTGTTCCATGCCGCGTGTTTTATCTATTGTTCGCATGTATGTGGCCGTGCTCTTTGCTTTTCAAACCAATGTTTTTTCACGGTAAACGGTTAGTCATTTTTGTCGGATGTTGCTGGTGCATTTCACCTTTTTCTTCTGTTGTTTACGCCCAAACAACTTTTATACTGTGTACCGGAACCACTGTAGATATGTGTGACTATATGTCAAAACGTACTTCATCCCAAATAAAATTGTCCAATTCCCATATCTTTTAGTCGATGGTATGTTGTTCCCAAAGCCTCGAAGTTATACCTACGTTGTACATTTCTACATCGCACAAGCGTTCATTGTTTTCGTAACATAATTTGCCAGAGTAAACAAATTCAGTCCATTGTATAAACATATAGCCAGTCATGTATGTACATATACCATGTTGGCTCAATACATGAGCGCTCTAATAATTTTCTTAGAAAAAAAAGCAAAAAAGCAAATTCTTGCAAAGCGACGTCTAGATGTTAAAGAAAGCAGTAAATAAATTGTATCACAGTTCCCGGTAGCAGTTTGAAAATATGTAGATAGATTGAGGAAAGGTGTGAGGTCCCCCTTCGGCTTGTATCAAACTTTTCACAGTAGCGGTTTCAAACCCCGCACTGCTGGCTCTCTGGCTCCTCCGAGACCGCCTTCAATTGCCTTTCATCAACAATATATTATTTCTGGAGCGTACCCTTCAATTGAGCTCCCCACGAATCCCAGGCCCTCGTTGGGGGAAATAATTTCCCCCCAAAATTAATAGTTCGGAGCATATCAAATGTAACACACCATTAAGGGCGCTCAATCGCCGAGTCCCTAGCGATATCATTGTCATTTAAACGTTCTTTACAATTCAATAACGATAGAGTGTAATACAATATCGGGCCCATTATAGTGGTTAGGAATGACTACACAAGTTTAATTACACTGTTTGGCAGCTGATAGTGATAGATATATTTTCATCATTGTGAGTCGCTAAGCGTGCAATAATTGACTTTGCCCATTGACACAATATATGGTCCCCATCAAATTTCGCTGCCAGCGATATGTAGTTATTATTTTAATTTCGCCCGGGTCTGAAAATTCGTGCGCCGCTATGATAACACAGGTAAACGGTCTCTTGGCTGCGGGGTTAATATCGTTTTCAGTCGAACTGTGGAGTAATTACTCCTCGCTTCGCCTCTAGGATTTGAGAAGATAGCGGGTGCCCAACTGTTTTGGGATGGCGCAGAGTCCTCATGCGAACCATTCTCAGGCCTGAAAAATCCCCTCTAATCCCGTAAAGATGTATCTGAGAAAAACACAGAATTGCGAAGAATTTGAACGGGAAAAGTAGAGTGCGTAGGGAAATAAGTTATATCGCAGATACGCTTATTGAAAGATAAGAGGCATTTTCGTTTCACCGAGTACATTTGTAATGTTGATGCCGTAAAAATGAGACAATGTGTCAAAAATTTCCGTATAATGCGTTAACTAAGGTAAATAGATCCCACACTTAAACGACAAATAGATTATGATAATTTACTACAACTATGATATCTGTATCTGTATCTGTATAGCCGGTATAACCGCCTTTCGGCGTAACACACCAGCTTCGCAGGAACGCGGCGCGGCGGCCGCTGGCTATATATTACATAAATCAAAAAACAGACGATAATCACTAAGAAAAATATGAAATACCAATTTCGTATACTGAACAGTTTTTGATCGATCTAGGGAAGTTTATAAAACTTATCCAAACATTTGAATCCCAATGAAAAGATGGGAGTAACTGTTGAGGCAACATTGATTTCAATAGAATGTCCTTGGTTTGAGAGGTTTAATTTTTAGGGCCAATAATGACAATCTGTGGTTGAATGTCCCTGCTTTGAACAGTGCTACCTACTGGCCACTGTAGCAAAATTTCCACCGTTTTGTACCTGTACATTAAAATTCTTTTACGTGTTTCTACATTAAAAAGCAGATGCATGGCTACTTCAAATGATACGTATTTTTGTGTAGTCCTATGAAATATGAACATATGATATCTAAGAGGGTTATATTTCATTCAGTTTGTTCCGTTGCTTTGGCTTTGTAAGTAACTTTCAATATTGACATTTAGCGGGTCTTTTTTTTGCAAGGATTTGTATAGGTGGTGTAAACTCTTTAACTGTTCCCAGTCTAAATAGCCTCCATAGCACGCCAAAAACTGGGGGTTTTGGGGGTCTTCAGGGCCTTTGGGAGCTTTTATGTGCTATTTTCTGATTGCATATAGACAACATAGCCGGCCTGGTTGAATTACCCCCGTTTTTGAGATGGGCTAATAAGAAAACAACCGAAGACCACCAAACCGCCAGTTCTATAAGCCTGCTACGGAGGCTAAGTCTAAAGTGGGCCCTAGTGTTCGCCGGAATATGGTCTCAGGGAGGCACCTGTTTCAAAAAATCTTCACCAAACCTTCAACACTTGTCGGTACCACTTCTCTCCAATCCACCCACTAAAAATCAAAACAGCAGAATGAAAACCCCAAATTTCTATTACGGCTAGGATATTGAATGCGTCTCCAGTATCCAAATTTGCAAAACGATTGACAGAAGGCAGATCTGGTGGTATAGCTTGGAGGACTTGTGTGTACTCTGGCTAATTCAGAGGTGGCCGCTAGACGGGCGCTCACTGTTTGCTTTGTAATGTATACCATAAACTCCTGAGTACTGTGCAGGTCTCCTACCACTCACTACCCCACCGGCGTTTGTTCTCCTTTCAACACGGCAGTTTTGGATCTCCCATAACTTTATTTTCCCACACTCCACAGACAATGCTCCTAGCTGTAAAGTGGACATTATCTCGGACCGCAAAGTTTTCTCTATACCTTATTAACAAGCAATTACGGGGTCATTGAGCTGTCGACGGCCGCATATGAATAGGGCTTGTGATGGGTCTATTTAGTCCTCCTAATGGCCGTCTGGCATCGGTACGGCCGCGTGCAGATGGAAAAGTTGGCTAAAAACTGTCGATTTGAGAGATTCCCAAGCAACTGTTGCTTTGAATTTTACGGTGGTTTCTCGCTAAACGAGTCTAACATGCTTTGCTATGTGTGGGGAGGGGGGTATGAAAGGATGTAGACTGTACGGCGGTGTGACTTTTGCCTTTCGGCGGGCGGTGACTCACTTTTTGGCCGACATGTGTTTTGGTCGTCACCGAACCCTCAGGCCTTCTCCAAAACAGTCCTGTCGAGTTCTCTCAGAGATTAAAAATGATTAGTCGTTTCCAGCTCGGTGATCGTTCAAATTTCTTATGAATGAGGTGTCTAATTTTTCGGCGTGCGGGCCCGGAATTCGAGTCGACGGTCGAGCACAATTGTGCACTAGCTAGCCGTGGTTTCCACACAGATGGTAGAATACTAGAAACTAGGGCTGGCTAGGACGGGATGTTTATGTCCTATGTCTACATATTGTTCAGATTGTTCAGTCACACAAATATCAGAATGGGATTCAAAGCTTCTTTCTTTGATTTGTGTTTATTTTCAAAATGTGGAGGAAGGTTTGACCGCTCGGACGAGGTCACCCGTAAAAAAAGCTGACCAGAGGAAAAGTGGCAATTCAAATTCAAT